CCCCCAGAAATAGCGCCCCGCCCCCGCCCCCCCGCTGCGCGCGCTGCCGTCCGCGCTCCCCATTGGCTGCGCCCGTCCGGCCCCGCACTGCGGGCTTCTCCCCGCGCCGCTCTCGCTCCACATCTTGTTTCCTCCCACAATGCCTTGGGGCGGAGGGAGGGGGTGGGGAGGAGGAGCTGGAGAGGGTGGGGGAGGGAGCTGTGGCCTTAAGAAAAGAGAGGAATGCAGACCCCCCCTCCGCCCTGGGCTGGAGTGGCCAGGCCTGAAAAGGCATAAGTAGAGGAGGCCCAGAGATAGAGAGGAAGGGGGGCTGTGTGAAGACCCCATTCCCAAGGGGGAAAAAGGGAGAGGGAATGGAGACTTCAGCCCAGGAAGCAGATGGAGAAGAGGTAGAGATCCCAACCTTAGCGAGAGGAAGGAGAGGAGAAAAGTCTCCAGCCTCCGAGGAAGAGACAAATCTGCGGGGAGAGGAGCAGGCAGCCCTATAGAGGAGTAAAAGCAGAAAGGGCCCAGGGCTCCCCTTCCCTCACGTTGCAACCCAGCCTTTGTTCCCCAGTCTGAAGGGCCTAAACTCCCAGCTGCTGCCCCAGGCAGGACTGTCTCCAAGAGCAATGGAGGCTGGCCCTAAGCAAATTGTGAGGAGGGAGGTTGTCTTTGGTTACACAGACCTCTGCTGTCCTCGCACATTTATGGCCCTACGGTACTTCTGGGTTGGAGGTGAGAGTAAGTCTGCCCTTACCTGTCCAGGTAGACCAGACTGGAGGGGAGTGAACAAAGCGAACCAAAGCCTGTCAGTCGCTCCACCCATACCCTTCCCTTTATGAAGGAGAGAACCCAGGTACAGAGTGAAGGGCCCTGGCCAGATCCACACAGGTCTGGTTTGACTTGGCTTCCAGGCTGAAAAGTAGTGCATCCAGGCAGCAGCCCCTCCGGAGGCTGAAAGAGGCTGCCTAGGTGAGTGTGAATGTGCACATGGGGAGTGTGCCTGCCCTCCACTCCACCCCACCCACCCCCAGTTGATCGCCAGGAATGTCTGCTTTTTTCTTCCTGGTCTGTTTTATTCAGGAATCATCTGCCTTAAAGGGTGATTAGAGTCTTTATTGGGAGCCAAGCATTTTGGCCGCACAGTGGGAATTAAGAAGCTTCCAGGGTTAGCTCCCACTCCCATCTTTTCCCCTTCACTCTCCCAAACCATGGTCAGGAAGTGAGACTTGCTCTGGCTCTGGCCTGCTCTGGTTTGGAGCATCATAAATTAGTGTTAGCCGGGCTCGGTGGCTCAGCCTGTAATCCCGCGCCTTTGGGAGGCTGAGGTGAGTGGATTGCCTGAGCCCGCGGGTTCGAGACCCGCCTGGGCAGCGAGACCTCATCTCTACAATAAATCAAAAAATCAGCCGGGCGTGGTAGCGCATGCCTGTAATTCCGGCTACTTGGAAGGCTGAGGCGGAAGGATCGCCGGAGCCCAGCAGGTCGAGGCTACGGTGGTCGGGAGCGGCCACTGCACTCCATCTGGGTGACAGAGTGAGACTCCAACTCTAAATAAATAAATAGATAGATA